GGGGGGGGGGGGGGGGGGCTTTACCAGAGGCACTGCCCTGCCTCCTCCTGGCGTTCAGCGTCGAAACCCTGGAAGCTTGAGGTCAGCGTCCCAGCTCTTGGGGTGAGAAGTCTCTCTGAGTCTCCTAAGTGGGCGAGGACAAGCCTGCCCGGCAAAGCAACACACTGTCACCAAGGAGGGGTCGCAGGGACCCTCGCTGCCCCCACCCATGCCAGATGTGCTGGAGATTCAGGCACGAATAGGGCAAGGCTGCCCCCTGGTGCCTGTCAGGTGCACAGACCCTCCCCCGAAGGCCTCAGCTGGGAGGCCCAGCACCCCCCACCTGCACAGCTTCTCTCTCCAGGGACCTTCAGGCCTCCCTTTAGCAAGGGTGTTCGGCGGCCTCCCGACCCGCAGCCGAGCAGCCTGTTGGGAACTTTGCAGGGCGAAGAGCAGCCATGGGGTGGGGAAGGAAAGGGTCGTTGTCCTGGCCTGGGGACGGGAAGGGTGCCCCCGCCCCCCACCACTCCCAGACTCTGCGATCACCAGGCTGCAGTCCCCAGATGGCTCATCCTGTTAAGCTAAACCCTCAGCCATCCGGCGGCTTTTAGAAGAAAAGCAGTTCTGGCCCGAGCCAGATTGAGCCTGCTGGGTGAGGAGGGGCAGGCCCTCCTCCCAGGATGGCTGGAGTAGTCTCCGGGGCGGGGGCTTTGTGGAAGCCTGGCCAGGTGGCCTGTGCTCAGGTTGGGTCAGGGCACGGGGGAGCGGGGTGAGGCTTGGGGATGCGCCAGGTGGCAGGGCGGCTCTGTTCATCGGAAGACCCTAACTGTAGTTTTCTCTGGCCCGGTATCAGACTGAAGCTGGTCTGCAGACAGAGGCCACCGAGAAGTGTGTGACATGTAGGCGTCGTGGAGAAGTGGGGGCCACCGGGGAGCAAGGGCAGAGGGGAAAGACGAGTAGCCCAGTGAACCACAGATATCGTCCCGGCAGGTGGGGGGGGGCGGGGGTGCCCGCGGAAGGGAGGGCGGTAGCTGTGATGGACATGGTCTTCGGGCAGAGGTCAGACAGCGCCCTGACAAGCAGGGGGAAGTGAGGACGCGCGGACTCGGCCGGGTGCAGGCAACCCTTTTGAGAATTTAAGATCTTGCTTGTACCAGGAACACGGCAGGGAGAGAAGGCAGTGGCTGGAGGGGGTGTGGGCCAGCGGGTGGCACTTTGGGGAAATGGCTGCCGCTGCAGGGAGGGCAGAAGGTGAAGGCGGCAAGACCTGGGGAACCTGGGGAGGGCCTTTGAAGGAGCCAAGGGCGGGTCTCCTCTCCCCTGGGAGGGGAGGCAGGTTCAAAGGCCAGTGGCTGAGCAGTGAGTGAGCTGCCTGCGTGAGATCGTGAGATCCGTGAGATCCGTGAGATCCGTGAGATCCGAGGCTGCTGGGAGGGGGGGCAGCTTGGCCTGAGGGGCCACAGGGAGGCCCGAGGGGGAGGTGAGTGCTGAGAAGGGCCCGGGGAGCTCCGGGACTCTAGGACCCAAGCTGGCACCCCTCCAGGGGGAGCCTTCATGGGGTGTCTCTAGACCCTCCTTGGGGGGGCGCTCCATGACCTGGGGGGTGCAACAGGCCCCCAGACCAGACTTGACAGGGCTGCTGCGCCTCC